CTCCTTGATTTGACCTAGGTTCTAACAGAATCTCCAGAGTATCTGTTTTAGGAATAGACTTAAGAGGGTACAACTGGAAGCAGGGACAGCAATTTAGAAGCAGTTATTAAAATCCAAGTGAGAGACCATGGTGGATTGGACAAGGATGGTGGCCATGAGAATGGAGAGATGTAATGGCAGGTAGGATGTGCTTTGAAGATGAAACCATAAGTTGTCCTGATGGATTGCATTTCCAATATGTGAGGAAGAGAAGAGTCAATAATAAATGGAGTCTTGGTCTGAGCCAACATTCAGCATAGAGTTATCATCATTGCGATTAGAAGGCAATGGGAGACACTGACTTTTCTTTGGGGCAAGGGAGGCAAGGAGGCTGGAGGAGATCAGAAGTTCTGTTCTGGAGACATGAAGCTTTTGTAAATTCCACTTGTTCCTTGAATATATGCTGGTTTCTTCTGGTTTTTTCTTTTTGTTGTTGTTTGTTTGTTTTTTAAAATTTTAGATTCTAGGGTATATGTACTTGTTTGTTACAAAGGTATATTGCATACTATTGGGGATTGGTCTTACCCAATTAGTGAATATTGTACCCAGGAGGTAATTTTTCATTCATCACTCCCTACCCTCCCTACTTTTGGAGTCCTCAGTGTCTCTTATTTCCACCTTATGTCCATGTGTACCCATGGTATAGCTCCCGTATATGAGTAAGAACATGTGGTGTTTGGTTTTCTGTTTCTTAACTGGTTCACTTAAGATAATGGTCTCCAGCTCCATCCATGTGGCAAAGGACATAATCTCATTCTTTTTATGGCTGCACAGTAATCCTTGGTGCATAGGTACCACATTTTCTTTAGTCAACCATTGATGGACACTTAAGTTGGTTCCGTGACTTTCCTATTGTGAACAGCGCTGCAGTGAACATACTAGTAGTGGTGGAGAGGTGTCTTTTTTATATAACGATTTCTTTTCCTTAGAAAAGTAGTGAGATTTCTGGGGTGAATGGTAGTTTTATTTTTGGTTCATTGAGAAACCTTCATACAGTTTTCCATAGAGATTGAACTAACTGACATTCTCAGCAACAATGTATAAGCATTCCCTTTTCTCCACATCCATCCCAACATCTGCTGTTTTTTGAGTTTTTAATAATAACCATTCAGACGGGTCTTCTGGTTTTTGGAGGGGAGGATTGGGTGAAGCAGGAAGGAGTTTGGAGGGAAGGAGTGGAGGCTTGAGTGGGCCTCGAGTTTAGAGTGTGGGCAAGAAGGATCCCAGAGGCAAGCACTTTACTCAAGGCACCGCAGCTAATAAAGCTTAGGGGTCCAGCACATTCTCCAGAGGCCCAGGCCAGGCCGTTTAGGGCCATGCTGATTCTGCCCCATCTGCTGCGGGTCCTGCAAACATTTTCATCAAGAAAAAAATAATTAAAAGAAAAACAGAATAAAAATGGTACCCAGGTGTCCTCTAATGAAATGAAGGGGAAAAATCCATTTCTGGCTTATAGTGAGAGTCACTCAATGAGAGCCTGACTCACTGAAATTCATACAAGATTAATGTAACCAAGTTCTCTGTCTTTTGACACCGGTTTACAGTAAGAGCAGGCCACACCTGGCCAGCTCTGGAATGTGTTAGGACATTTGCATGTTACATTTCAGTGTGATATCTGCTAAGTCAAATGAAGAAGTCTTGAAAGATGCCTTCTAAGTTTGGAAGTATTTGAGTGTCACATTCCATAAGCCAGCAGCTAGTTGTTGCCCTCAAAACATAAAGTTTTGTTTGTTCTTTTGTTTTTTGTTTTTTTTTTTAGTGGATATGTCAGTGAAGTAGATTATAAACAGACACATATAAGATTTCAAAACTGTAACAAAATTAAGAAAAATCTAGTTCAATGAGGTTAGATTCTATGAAATTAATCTGAAAAGGGATAGTAGTTATGAGAAGTCTTTAAAAAGTGGATATTTGCCAGAGAAACAAGCAGATACTGTTTCTGATTAAGTTGGCAGAAATGTATGAGTGCTTAAAATGCCTTGCTTTATTCGTTTATTAGAAGAGCTTGCCTTTTTCCAGTTTGTCTGAAGTTGGTATAAACTACTCTCTGTTATGTTGGGTGGTGCCTGAATAGTGAGAAGCCAAAATGATTTAGTTCTTTTCAAAGAAGAAAGTATAGACTAGCTTATTTTAATAACCCAGTCCCAATTATAAAAAGAAAAGCTTTACCACTCTAATCTCTGGCATAGAGAATGTTCTCTTTTTTAGTTGACATTAGGGGTAAAGAAAACCTTGGCTTTGAAGTTCAGCAAGTCTTGTTTCAACCCCAGCCGCAACTGGGTGAACTTAGTCAAATTACTTAACCAGTCTTATCCTTGGGTTTTTATTTTTATCTATAAAATTTGAGTGATGTTGATGATAAGTACCACTCAGTATTGCACTTTGAACGAAAAGTCTGAATTGTCAAATGAACAACTGAATTGTTTTACAGGAATAGTTTAACTTTAATAAATACTCCTGCAGAATTTCATCATGATGTTAAAATTGATGGAAGCTTTATTTTCTAAACTGAGAAACCAGTGCTCACGTGGCCTAGTTTAAGAATGAATGCTCAAACTTAATACATGTTTTAAAAAGATGTTTTGGGATATCAAATGTAAAACAATTCCTAGTTTGTGTTATTTTATTGAACAAACCCTACGCAGCACTTGGGCAATCGCAGGCACCGTTGCAGACTTGCTGGCTCCTGGCTGTGATCTCATGCCCCAATTGCAATAAGATCCTGATGAAATGGACTTCCACAAGTAGGTCAAGAATAACAATGTGCAGACCTAATTCCTCTAATTTACGGTGAACATCTCATGGTTAATCTCCTCTCCCAGCGGTCAAAAGACTCTGTATCTCTTCCTCTCAGAGCCACTCCACATGCCAAAAGGCTGACTAAACCCCTGACAGATAAGCGATTCAAGAGTGGGCCCAGCCCCCGTGGGGAGCAAAGACACTGGCTCAAAAAATGTACTGAGAACTCTCCCTTTTGCAGCTCCTCCTTTCTTAACCTTCCACAAGCAGCGGCAGTTGGATTCTGTGATTAGTCTGGTCTTCAGAGCCAGCCTTCTTGGGTTCAGATTCTGACTTCAACTCTTAATGTGAAGCGACGTGGGCAAGTTGCTTAATCTTTCTGTGCCTCAGTGTCCTTGTCTGTAAAATGGGCATCATCATAATAGCGCCTGCCTCATTGGGTGAGTGTGAGAATGAAGGAATTAATACATGTAAATCACTTAGACTGTGTCTGGCACAGAGGACATTCTAAAGAAAGGTTAGTTATTATCATTATATTATTATATTGGTCTGGAATTCGTTCCTGAATCCTTCTGAGATGTGATGACTCATAAACGTAGGTTGAGTTTACTCATGTTAGGGTCATCGCAACTATGCATAGCTAAAATCAAATTTTGCTTTTGAAGTTTGTTTTACCTGGAGCCCAAGAGTTGAGGGTTATGGTTTCCTTTGTCATTCCACTTGAGAAGCTTCTTAGTCACAGCTTCCTTCTCTTTCTCTGCACTCTAGAAAAACTTCCTTTTTTTTGTTTTTCTTCATCCAGGCAGAGAGCCCTACTGGGACTTAAATCCAAGGAGCTGAAATCTGTTTTGGGATGGGATGGCGTCACATTCTGGACCCTAGACAGAGAATTTCTAAGTTCCAGAAAGTGCTGCTTACTTTGCATTGCCTCTCCCCAACCTTTGCTTTCGAAACTCCTGGCACCAATGCTGCCAAGGCTGACGGAGCTTTCCTGAGTGGTGTCTGCTAAATGAGGTGTCAAGGAATATCTGGAAAGGCAGCCTCCAGGCCCCCAGTGTCAAGAGCGTTTAGAACTGAAAGTGTCCTAATATCGGGGCACAGGCAATAAGCATTATTTATTATTCAGCCTGAGAAACTGATGCTAAAATAGGAGGAAATCATTCAATTATTTCCTGTCAAGGGATTACTCAATGTTGTTTTTATGTTTAAATATTTATTTGTCAACATCAAGAATTCTTAGGACGTGATGCATCAGCATTTTTGAACAAGTCATAGATTTGACCCACAAATCAAATTTCAGGATGGGTGGAGTGTCTCTGCTTTAAAATAGAAGAGAGTGAGTAGTCTAGGAGGAGGGAGCTACATAGACTGGAAACTATTCTTAGCTTCGTCACTGACTCCAAGTTCATCCCCTCTGTCTTTCAGTTTGGGTAAGCATCAATTAGTTATCTAAAATTTGTAATAAAAAAGTCTTCATCATTCATGATTGTGTTTATCTTTATGTTTGTAAATTTCTATGTTGCTTCTATTCCTCCCCTTATATTTTAAGAAAAGAAGTAAGAAAGTAAATGATTATTTTTCTGAAAGAAAAAATAAATGTATTTACTATTATTCACAGACCTTCAACTATTCTTAGAAAGCCTTTGGTGACTCCTGGGAACAAGCTGAGTCAGGAACAAAAGTTTGAGGGTTTGGGGTTGAGCATAGGACAATTGCTTGGCTAATGCTTTAGTCTAGTTCTGACTTTGCTACTCCTAAGTTGCTTTGTGATGACTACTTGCACACGTGCCTGTTTGTGAGTTATTTTTGTGAGCATGCTGCCACCAGCCTGTGTGGATGTCTGTGGTTTCACAAGATACAATGTATTTTCTAAATCTACTGAATTTTATGTTTTTTTGTTTTGTTTTGTTTTGTTTCAAAAATAGAAACTCATATTCTTTCCTTCTTAATTAAGTTTATTTCGGGACATTCTCATGAGACTGGTAAAATATAACTGTGAAGTAGCATGATAATTGTGAAATAGCATGATTATTGTGAGAGCTATATGACCTGAAACTTCTATAGGAATAAGTGCAATACTGCATATCTGAAACCTGCTGTTATATCTCTTTGCACTTAATGAAATATGTGTTGATCGATTCATTCTCCTGGGTAGTGCTGAGAAAGTAAAAATCATGGCTGATAAAAATTCTGTTTATGGTTTTGTCTAATTTATTTTTCAGTTAAGATATAGGCTACTCTTCCCAACTCAGCCTTGGAGAGCGTCATCAACTGCCTCACGTGTGGTGACCTTCACTGTCGTATGCCAGTGACTCATCTGGAGTAATCTCAACAGCCAGTTACCAACACTTGCTCTTGATTGATAAACAGAGAATGGGGCTTTGGATCTTAGCAATTCTCACAATTCTCGTGTATTCCACAGCAGCGAAGTTTAGTAAGTATTGCCTTTTAACTATAATTTAAATTTTTATAAATTAAATAATTTCAAGAACATTCACCTTGTTTTAAGCAGCGTGCTTCCAATTGTTCCAGTTGAATTGTAAACTGAAAAATATATTGTTTTTGTATGATCATTATTCATTACAAATCTCTCAGAAGAAATTCTTTGTAATGAATATATCATCAGTTTGGCTTCACATATTCAAATGCAGCAGAATGTAACATGGTGCCTGCACATGGGAAGTGTTGCAGATGTTTATTGACTGACACAAAGTTTGTTTAGATAGGTATGACTGCTTTTCCACCGGAGAGCTGTGAGGGGTTTAGCTCCAAATTAACTCATTAGCATTTCATAAGAGATCTTAATCAGTTACTTATTCTTTCCCAAAGTATCACAGTATATGACTGGCTTCTAAATTTAATCCTGGAAGCAAATATTGAGAGGCTAGGAATTACGATCTTCTCATTTGATCATTTCAGGATTGTCTTTATATCTTTTATTTGCAGGTAAACAATCGTGGGGCCTGGAAAATGAGGCTTTAATTGTGAGATGTCCTAGAAAAGGAAAACCTAGTTACATCGTGGATTGGTATTACTCACAAACAAACAAAAGTATTCCCACCCAGGAAAGAAATCGTGTGTTTGCCTCAGGCCAACTTCTTAAGTTTCTACCAGCTGAAGTTGCTGATTCCGGTATTTATACCTGCATTGTCAGAAGGTATTATGCGGAGAGCTCCCATCTTCTTTCACCCTGCTCCCCTTTCTTGAATGGTTGATTGCCTGAGGTGCCCTTGCTTTCATTCCTTCCCTAGTCTTTTCTGGAACAGTTAAATTTATAAAGTGATTTGAATAAAAGTGATTTGGATAAACTTCTAGGAATACTATCAGGTTGAGGTCTAGCTCATTTTGAGCTATTTGGATTTACAGTTGCAGGGATTAATTTGTAGCTAACTGAGAGAAAAACCTAGCTTTCCTAGTGACCAAGATAACTGAGAGCAATTGCTTACATTTGGCTGGAATTAAGAACAAACTAGAGCAGAAAATAGTAATCTGGATGTTTTCCATCTCAGGGGGCCTCTAGTAGGTGAAAAGGGGCAATGACCAATGCTTTGAACCTCCAAGTTAAGCCACAGAAGGCTGATGAGATTGTGTGCCTAAAAATTACTCTTGTTCACAAATTGTTAAATGTTTCGATTTTGTGATTGTATTTGGCACACACAAAATGTCAAATGAACGACATCAAAAGGCAGGATGTATTAGTTAAGGGCCTAGGTCTGAGGCCAGACAACTGTCAAATTCATGCTCTGCCACTAGTTAACTGTGCGATGTCAGCAAGTTACTTCTCCGCCCTTTAGTTTCCTTCTCTGTAAAATGCATATAATGTAATAATAGAATTCATCTCAAAGCATTGCTGTGAAAATAAACTAAGGTAATGGGGAAAAGTGCTCAACATTGTTACTGGTACATAATAAACTCTCAATAAATAGTGGTTATCTTTATTACACTGGGATTATAGCGTTACAGCAGATGTAGTATATGAATAAATGGCAAAGAAGTCATTGTTAGGGCTACTATGGGGGCTATGTTTTTAGCTCAAATGTAACAAAAAAGTAGTTAAACTCTAGATTTTCATGTTTATTTTTAAATAAGAAAATACCCATTATGTATATTGATGGTTTTTAAGAAGAAAAGCAGTATTAAGTAAAGGCTAAATTTAGGTTAAGTTATTTCACAATGCTAAGTGACTCTTAATTTTCGGATTTATTTTAATAGTCCCACATTCAATAGGACTGGATATGCGAATGTCACCATATATAAAAAACAACCAGATTGCAACGTTCCAGATTATTTGATGTATTCAACCGTATCTGGATCAGAAAAAAATTCCAAAATTTACTGTCCTACAATTGACCTCTACAATTGGACAGCACCTCTTGAGTGGTTTAAGGTAAGAGGAAATTTGGGAGGAAATAGATGAAAATTACACAATTAAAACAGACACAAGTGGCCAGGCACAGTGGCTCACGCCTCCAATCCCAGCACTTGGGGAGGCCAAGGCAGGCAGATCACTTGAGGCCAGGAGTTCGAGACCAGCCTGGCCAACATGAAGAAACTCCATCTCTACTAAAAATATAAAAATTAGCTGGGCATGGTGGCACACACCTGTAATCCCAGCTGCTTGGGAGGCTGAGGTACGAAAATCACTTGAACCCAGAGGGCACAGGTTACACTGAGCCCAGATTGCACCACTCACTCCAGCCTGGGCAACAAAGATTCTGTCAATAAATAAATAAACAAAAGTGAAGAATTACTGAAAAGGAAATGAAATTTCTCATTTCAGAATTGTCAGGCTCTTCAAGGATCAAGGTACAAGGCGCACAAGTCATTTTTGGTCATTGATAATGTGGTGACTGATGATGCAGGTGATTATACCTGTAAATTTATACACAATGAAAATGGAGCCAATTATAGTGTGACGGCGACCAGGTCCTTCACGGTCAAGGGTGAGCTACCAACATTAATGAGGTAGAATACTACTGGAAAGAAGTCAAAGTGGGAACAGTTGTGCCCTTCTGGTTGGGTTTCTTGCGCTTCACCCTCCTCCCCCTACTTCCTCCTGCTCCATCTTATCTTATACATTCTGAACTATGACGCAAAGAGATTTTCTGAACGCACTATCAAGATTTAAGAAATTTCAGGGGGAATTACATTACTAATTCAAAGCCACATCTATTCTTGATTCTTTTTTTGTGACTTAATTTTTCAAAGATAAAGCAGTCTGAATTCTAACTTAACTTACTTTTTTTGAATGGCAATACAAAATTTGCCATTCAAATTTTGGAGAGCAAAACCAACTTTTTTTTTTTTTTCCTAGTTTGGTTTCAGAGTTTCTGCAAATTAAAAAGAGAAGAATTTACTCTTTAGTAATACTCACTGGATTCAAAGTTTAATGAGAGGCTTTATGATGCGATACTATAGTGTACATAAATGTTATTGCGTGGATTTTAATCTATGTTTGCAAAATACTTTCAATATCATCAGTGGCCTTGAGTAGTTCACTTCATTCTAAAAATGTGTTTTCTAAGTTGTCTTAAATTTTATAAAAGTCTATTTAAGGGAAAGACTTCACGATCATAGCTTATCAATCTGTAAATAACTGGGGTCTCCTTAGCACAAGTTGATCTATACACGTTGATGAAATAGCCCCTTAAAGTATGACAGTTTTTTTAGGGCAAAGCAATATTGGAGATAATTTTTTGGAGTTTTCCAATACTTCACTGCACCGCTGCAAAATAAGCATCACCAGACCACATTCCTATTAGCGTCTCTTTCTGTTTAATATCAACCCTTACAGTGTTCCTTAATCACAGTGTCCTTAAATAAATGAGCATGAAGGGATGGAGGATTGCAGCAGCGCTCCACAAGCACTGCCAGTCTTTCAGCCCTGGTGGTCCCAGGAGTCAGAATTCCATACGGGGAAGAGTTCCCTGAGGATGGGCCACCCTAGTGGAGAACTGCGAGCAAATCTGTGGACTCATCCATTTATTGTTTTCAGAGGTCTTTTGAAATCTTCCCTGTAGTCTTATTCTGTAGAAGTGTAGTTTTCTAACAATTACTAGGTCATGTAATTAGTTTTATGGGTTGGACCTGCATTTGTTTTAGTGATGTCAAAGAGAATACAGATATTACAAAGCATCATAGGTAATAAAAGAAAGCTTTATTTAAATGCTTTTCTGTTTCGTGTGTGTGTGTGTGTGTGTGTGTGTGTGTGTGTGTGTGTGTGATTATGGGTTATTGTCAGAAGAATTTGAAAAACATTGCTATGAAATAGAATAGAAACATGAAGATACAAACTTATATTGAGTAGCATTCAATGCTCCCCTAATATTTATATTTCTTTTTGTCTTTAAGATGAGCAAGGCTTCTCTCTGTTTCCTGTAATCAGAGCCCCTGCACACAATGAAACAAAGGAAGTGGAAATTGGTAAGAAAATTTGTCAGAATGCTGTAAATATTGCCTGGAAAATCCTTCCATATGACCCCTGTTCTGAATTCCCTTAGCAGGGGTCAGGCAATTAGCATAGGGAACCTTGAGGGGTAAGTGAGGTGACATCCCTGGAAGCACCTGCCCCAAGCATTTGCTAATATTGGGAACCAGGACACAGCAATTGCTGTGTTTACATTTGTTTATTGCATGTTGTAATTCATGGTGCTTTCATGTATGCATCTAATTTCATCTTCATCTCTATCCCAGAGCTTGGGATGGAAACCTGCAGAGTGTCCTTTCTGGGCAATGGTAGCCAGGTCTGGTAAAACACATTTATATTCAAAGGTAGCTTATGGAGAGATGAAGAGAGTACTGTAGAAAGACGTGAAAGGGAGCAGTTGGAAAGAAACTCTAAATTTCTAGTAAAGGGCAATCCTTTTACTAGAAATCCTTTATAAAGTGGGGTTGGTGAAGCCAGAATCATTGGCCTTGTTAGTTTCCCATGCAGGTGGGTGAATGGGAAACCCAGCTGGGTGAATGAAAGTAATGGGAGCAGGGAGGAGGTAAGAGAGGACATAGAAAGAGGAAGGTGCTAGAGATGAAGGAGGGAGGTCCTGGCGGGGTGCATACTAAGTGTTCAGTAAGTTTTTTTTTTTTTTACATTAAATGGGATAAAATGCTAGTCGCAGAAGTTAATTTTATTGGTGAATGTCCTTACTCCCCTCTAGGAGAAAACACAAACCTAACTTGCTCTGCTTGTTTTGGAAAAGGCGCTCAGTTCTTGGCTGCCGTTCAGTGGCAGCTTAATGGAAACAAAATTACAGACTTCGGGGAACCAAGAATTCAACAAGAGGAAGGGCAAAATCAAAGGTATTTTTATATGGAAGAGAACCATCCTCTTCCCCTTGCACATCGTTTGCACGTGCAAAGTAGGCATTACAAGTAACAGGTTGCTTTCTTAGTTTCAGCAATGGGCTGGCTTGTATAAACATGGTTTTAAGAATAGCTGATGTAAAGGAAGAGGATTTATTGCTGCGGTACGACTGTCTGGCCCTGAATTTGCATGGCTTGAGAAGGCACACCATAAGACTGAGTAGGAAAAATCCAAGTAAGGAGTGTTTCTGAGACTTTGGTCACCTGAACTTTCTGTAGCAAGGGTAAGCGGAATGGAGTGTGGTTCCGAGAGATCCATCAAGACAATGGGAATGGCTTGTGCCATAAAATGTACTTCTCTTCTTTGGGATGCTGTTTGCTATCTGATCTTTGTAGACTGTTCCCGTTTGCTAGGAGCTTCTCTGCTGCTTAAGTTCCTTCTCCTTCCCCACTGCCTCCTATGGTTGGTTTCTCTACAACACTCAGCTGCTTCTTTGGTCATCCTTGTTTTCTAACTTTATGAACTCCCTCTGTCTCACTGTATGTGAAAGAAAATGCACCAACAACAGTAAACTGAACGTGTTCTTTTGTGCTCTTTTATAACTTGTGTTACCTGTTGTAAACGTGGTTCCTTCTATACCTTTTTCTGGTCATAATGAACGCTCATTTTGTTAGTGAGGGTGGTAAAGTGAACAAAAAGGGGAAGTATCTAACTACTGCCATTTCAGTGAGAAAATCCTAGGTGCTACTTTATAGTAAGACACTTGTTAGGCCATTCTTGCACTGGTATAAAGAATTGCCTGAGACTGGGTGATTTATATGAACAGAGGTTTAATTGGCTCACGGTTCTGCAGGCTGTGCAGGAAGCATGGCGGCATCTGCTTCTGGGGACACCTCAGGAGCTTTACTCATGACAGAAGGCAAAACAAAGGTAGGCACTTCAAACGGTGAAAGCAGGCGCGAGAGAGAGAGAGGTGACGCACTTAAACAGCCAGATCTCATAAGTCACTCACTATTGCAAGGACAGCACCAAGGGGATGGTGCTAAACCATTCATGATGAGCTTACCCCCATGGTCCAATCACCTCCCATCAGGCTCCACCTTGAATACTGGGGATTACCACTCAGCATGAGATTTGGGCAGGAACACAGACCCAAACCATATCACACACATTATGACTGTTAAACTTTATAAAGTATTTAAGGTACATGGAACACATGGGAAGTCTGGTAGCTCAGCCCATTTCTTTATTGCCTCTGTTATTCACCGTGCAATTCAGGTACCACCTATTCCGGGGAACTTTTCTTGGCCCTCAGTTTGCGGTATACATGCTTTCTAAGTACTCTTGTAGCATCCTGTTTGTATCGTAGCACTGGTCACATTGCCTTGCCAAAATCTGTTTGACAGTCTGCTCAACATGACTGCAAGCTCCATGAGGGGAGAGACATCATCTCAACCATCTTTGGGTCCTTAGCGCAATACCTGGCAGCTAGCCAGTGCTCAGTTAAATATTTTTTGACCGAATAAACGAATGCACAACCAAGTTATTGATACCAAATGTTTTTTGTGTACATTTCTACTTCTCTAGCTATAAGGCTTAATTATACAACAAAATACTATTTTTATATTTATGCTTGGTAAATTCAATAACTTTCTCCATCATTTGGAAAGTGAAATTGTTTATTGCTTCCCTATAGCTTTTTTCTGAATCTAGCAGGATTTTAATGATATCATCATAATTTGACACAATAAAAGGACAACATGAAACTGATGAGTCTTTATTGGGTTAATTTCAGATGGTATATAATCTTTTAAAATGTAACATTCTTTTTTATATATAAATAATTGGTGGCTTCACAAATAGCCAAAGCAGGGTGGAGAGAGTGATCCCTCCTGGGTGCACACAAGAAGGGGATATGTTGCCTACAGAGTTTTCAAAACAGTAATAAAGCTGTCTACAAGTCATTGTGCTTCTTATCATCACCATGCCCAGATAATGCGAAACATCAGAGATGAAGTTCTTCCCCAACAGAGGTGGACTGATCTTTCTCCCCACTCGCTTGGTGTGTCTCTGTTGTGTCCAAGACAATGCAATGTTGTCTTGGAAAATAGCTTTCCAAGCATTTCACTCCTGAGCCCTCGTCAGTTTCCTCACTTGTTCTTCGCATATCCAGGCAAAGGCATCCTGTTCGCTATACGAAGCATTGTATCCCGTATAAAAGGAAGGAGAGAGAAAAATATTTTTTTTACACTCATCACTCCTCAGGGGCTGTACAACCATGTAGAAATTGTTTAACGTACTTGTCAAATAGCCAAAGAAAGTGTTAAATCCTGAGTTCCCACCCATATGTGCAGTGTGGTCCAGATTCATCCAGATACACACAGAGAGGCACAACAGGAGGAGAAAGGATTGGGGTGTGGGGACAGTAGGCCCCCAATATGGTATAATCGTGGCAGGTCTCTGCCTGAAGTGGTATGTGGGGTTTTTCTTGTTTTAATTTTGACTTTAACCCTCGATTTGTAAGTTTTTCATAAAATAAACAGAATCATAACTCATGCAGATGGCTGTAAGTGCCATAGTGTTCTGTGGGTCTCTGGTGTCTGCCAGTGATAAATGTGGCACCTCAGGAAGGCTGTGGACCCCGTCAAGGTGCTATGTGACAGCCATGCTTGGGGTGGTGGTGGGCCCAGTGGACCCTGCAGCCATCCATCCAGCCTGCCCACCCATGCTGCCCTTGTGTCCTCCTGCTTTGCTATATTATCATTGATCAATGTCCCTGCTTACCGATGTGTTGGAATTGTTTTCGTGTTACAGGTGTTCAGTGATTTTGCTCCTTCTAGCTTATTTGTATTTCGCCTGCTTTTCTGTAAGTCAACATGGTTACAGTCTGTTTCAGCAACTGTATAAATTAAACACAAATTATTACGACTGCTGTTGAGTTGTCATGATGAATTCTTTTTTATTTCTGAAATTTAAGAGAGCAAAAACTTAAAAGGCCTGTGCCCCCATTTTATTAACTATTACTAAATACTTATTTGATGCTCATAATAATAATAGTACACATTTATTCATTATTTCCTATGTACCAGGTCTCATCTACTTATTTTACATTTAACTTTCTCGTTTATTTTCTCAATACTTCAAAGTAAAAGGCAAAGAAAGTTGAATAACTTGCCAGATACCACAGTTATGGAGCAAGGATTCAAACACAGCCAGCATTTTGCTATTTATATGTGTATATAGAAAGTAATGTTTAGTCATCACATATCTGAATTACTTATACTTTTATAAAATGATTCACACTTACAAAGACTCCCTTTGAGGTCTTGGATCAACATCTTTCTTTTGCTTGGAAGCGTCCAGCCACTGGCATGGTTACTTCCCAGCATTCCCCACAGGAAGTACACATTCCTCTGTGCATCCAGCTGGGGTTTTTAGACAGAGTGACCTGGAAAGGAATCCTGTTGAAACAATTTACTTAACAGAGTTTTCATTATTTAACCTGATGACAGTAAGCTCTTTGTCAATTTTCACATTTTTCCCCCAACTTTGAGTCATATCACCTTGATAATTCTTGATTTCATACTGCTGGTCACTGAGAGAGCTGATAAACTATTAGAGGTTGTGGAGGAATTTGTGAATATGGTCCAGTGCTTTTTCTACCTCAGAACTGGGAGCCCATGCATGGAGACTTAAGATGGAAATGAACCATATCAGCAAATCTCATTTGAGATTCTTCTCACATTCGTCAGTGCATATGCGTGTTGCATCTGCATTTTGTGAAGCAAGGAGTACTAGGATAAAGTTCAGTGTTGGCTGAAGAGAAGTATGGGCTATGAGTAGGACCTAGAACTTAGTAATTTGACTTTTGAGTTCTTTATCAAAGATGCTTTAGCCACTTAGGTGACTCTTGCTGCTTCTTCTATCTCCCACACCACCAAGCCCTTAGAGGTAACAAATCTCTCAGACCTGTCGATGCCTTCTCCTTAATGCCTTGACAGCACCTTGTCTATTCCTTTCTCATTATTGCGTGAGTTACAACCCTCTGCATCTTACATCCCAAGTACCACACTCCATTCTTTTCTGAGTGCCCATAGTTTCTTTCCACAGAAACAAACTTTCTACTACCATCAGATTAATCTCATGGGAAAACCACTCAAGGCTCCAATGCTCCTGTGACCTTCAGAATAAGGCAGTCTGCCTTAGTTGCCTTAGTTGGGGTTTCAAGTCTGGACAGAACCTGGCCCTGACCAACCTTCCTAATCATATCTTCCACCAATTCCCCAGACTAGGTTATTCCAATTCCTCAGAAAACACACTTCCTCTCTGCACTTAGGCTTATGGTATTCTCTTTGCCCAGGTGGGCATTTCCTTTTTTGCATCTGCCTGAATCCTACTCATCTTTCAGAGGCCTCCCCGTCCTCCAGGAAGGCTCCCTTTCCCAGTCCTGCATGAAGCAAGTTCTCCTTCTAAGATCCTCTGCCAGCAAAAATCATGCTTTTGCCTCCCATCTTAGTTAAGTTGACGAGTGTCTCTGTGCCTCTTTTGCCGTTGAGAATTCCCTGTAATGCTTAGCCTGATATGTGGTAGAGGCTCAATAAATGTGAATGTCCTGGTACTTAAAGCAGCCATGAAAATTCTCAGTGGGTATATCTTACATGAAATTCTTATACTCCCAAGGGAAGCCAGCATCCATGTATCTGTTTATTATATCTTGTTTCAGTAGTAATAATAATCATTTTTCTTTCTTTTGAATAGTTGATCATCAAAGCACCTACTGCATAATTGCAGTATGTAGTGTATTGTTAATGCTAATCAATGTCCTGGTTATCATCCTAAAAACATTCTGGATTGAGGCTACTCTGCTCTGGAGGGACATAGCTAAACCTTACAAGACCAGGAATGGTAAGTGGAAAATACTAAGTTTTTCACCCAAAGAAAAAGTCACATAATAACTGTTGGTTACTTGTCTATTAATTTTTCAATAGCTAGGCTGCTAAACCCAGATTCCATTTTGCTTGCTAATCTGTTATCAGTGAGTTATGTTTTTGGATTTTCTTAGAGGCCATTTTCCATCCTGCTCTGTAACTCCTCATGGTCCTGAGATTCATCTCAACAGCTCACATTTCTTCCCCGATAGGATTGCTATTCCTACTCAGTTACCAATGACAGAATCTGCCCCAAGCCCAGAAAGGTGTAAGTTTCATAATGTATTGGTAAGATATTATGAAGTTAAACACAGTAGCAAAATTGTTCCTGTTTTCCAGATGTGAGCAGGTTAGAAAGGTCCGTCAGAACGCATGTGTGTTCTACCTGAAACCCTGATCTGTAAAGTCTAACCTAGGCACACAAACATGCTCATGAAAGGAGTCAGTTCTGCCTGCTAGATGCAAACCTCATGCTTTTGTTTGGAGGCAGATACACGTTGCATTTTTCAAACAGTTGACTCAAGTAGGAGCTAACGGTTTGATTTGTGGAAAATTCAGACCCCTTAAAAAATTCTATGCCCTTGCTACTATTAACTTTAAATTTTTTCACTTCCCCAGGGGAGTATGTGGAAACCAAAGATGAAACCAAGGTCTATCCAGCGCAGAAGGTCCCCTTGTTCATAGATTATTAATCAACATTGATGAAATGGTTTTAACTGCACTGGACAGGCTCTTGTCCACTTTTTTGTTATTTAGTCTGTGACAGTAAAAAGGAGAAATACTTTGGGATGAAGACTGTTATTTCCTGATCATGTTTTGTGGCAGTGGTTTGTTCGTCAACATCTCTTGAGTCTAGAACATTTTGGAGGATGACATGCATTCACCAACAGCCATAAATCTTGGAGAGCAATGTCTTCGAAGAGTCCAGTGAGAATTTTTAGAATCAAGTAAGAAGTTGTACTTCTTGTTTTCATTTTCAGATGGAAAGCTCTATGATGCTTATGTTATCTACCCACGGAACTACACATCCAGCACAGATGGGGCCAGTCGTGTAGAGTACTTTGTCCACCAGATTCTGCCTGATGTTCTTGAAAATAAATGTGGCTATACCTTATGCATTTATGGGAGAGATATGCTACCTGGAGAAGGTAAAGCTATCGACATACATTAGGGACGGAAATTCATGCTTATTAGAGGCTGTGAACTAGGTGGCCTTATCCCTGCATTGGATAAGGAATTGCATTTACTACCTCAGACCTTAAGACCAAAACTTTAAGTATTTATCCAGGAGCAGACACTTATCCTTCACTCTTCCCTCTCCCATCATTGTCCCGGTGATGAGATCTTCACAGTAATGTCGGTGGTGTGAATTCAGAGTTAGAAGTCCTGTGCTTCAAGGACTTAGTAAACCATCATCCCTACTTTATTTCCTTGGTCCCCCACCAGGATAACTCTGCCACTTCTTAATTCTGTCCATAAGATTTGAAAGAGGACTTAAACATTGAAGAATTTTGTTCTGGTAGCCATAGGCACTAGCTGAAATACCTTAAAAGGACTCAGAGAGTCTTCATGACTTTCTTTATGTTGGTGAAACATTTGCAAATTTATATTCTCACCAGAGCACATAGAATTGTAGCTTCTGTTCCTTAATATTCTTACCCAATTTTATATATTTTTGACAGTTTTATCACAACTCCTGTGATTTCAGTAGCTATTTTTCCCTTCCCTTCATACATTTATGTCCAGTACCTATGGACCCTCCTTGTGAACTCTTTTCTAATTTCTCACAGATCAGGAAGGGTTTGGAATATAAATGGGGCTCAGATATCAAGGGCCTAAGCCTAATAAAGTAAACATTCAGTTTTACATTTTAAACTCATCTTACTAAGAAGAGGAATTCACATGCCTATAGATGTAAAGGTATGAACAACAGGTGAATTTGGTTTACCCTGGAATATCTGGGAATGCTCATAGCCTCAATAATGGCTCAAGAGACTGGTGAAAGGTACAGTTCAGGAGAGTATAATGCACTTCTCTCGAGGCTCTCTTCTTCTCCCATTTTCCCACTGGCCACCCAGGCAGATAGAAGTAATGAGTAATGCTCTCAAACACTCTTTTTGTATTCCGTTTGAGAGTAATGCTCTCAAACACTCCTTTCGTACTCAAAGACCTGCAGGGACTCCTGTTGTTTGTGAGCTCAACAGTGTGCCACATCTGGTCACAAGCTCTTCACCTCTTCTTTCTCAGTCCATCCACCTAAGTTCTAGTTACACTTCTCCCCAGCTAAACCCAGATGCTAGCTCTCTCACACTCAAGCTTGTGCTGCCTTCAATGTGTGACAACATACTAATCTGGAATGGTTTTCTACTTCCCTCCATCAGTGCATGTCCTCTGACCTTTCCTCAACCAAAATAAAATGAAACCCAATAAAACAACACCAAACTTCACTCTTTGCTTAGGAAAGTTCATGACTGACTAAGGTGCTATCTTTATTCTCATGAGACTTATCTTGCATTTGCCCCACCAAAATCCTCTCTGCATCACCACTCCATCCAGTGGCCCTGGGTGGCTGATCATCATGGAAGCCATTGCACCCTTGTCCTCTGCTCCAGGCTGGGTTTAGCCAATGGGAGGCACTGGCAGGAGGTCAGAGGGTGGTCATGTACCTGCCCCTCCAGGTGGGGCTTCCGCAGCAGCTGTGCTCCTGCCTCTGGGAGCACCTCTTCTCAGCTGGCCTGCCTCATGCATCTGCAATTCCTCAGACACCAGTCTGTCAGAATATCATGGGTTGTTTTATTCATGGTTGTGCTTTCTTCTGTTGCAGTGAGGACTGGGTATTTCATGTTCTTTCTAAGTCTACCCAGAGTGAATTGGAATCACCATGGAGTCTATGCTCTATAAACACCAAAAGGGAAAGGGGATCTATTGTCCCTTAAGATTTTTCTAGTCTGGATCAAATCCATTTCTACAACAGAGATTAATGGGGGGTGAAGTGAAGTCAGGAC